CTCAAAAAAAAAAAAAAAAAAATTAGGATATCTGGCTTAGCACCTGTGGCTCAAGTGGCTAAGGTGCCAGCCACATACACCTAAGGTGCCAGCCACATACACCTAAGGTGGTGGGTTCGAATCTAGCCCACCCGCCAAACAACAATGACGGCTGCAACCAAAAAATAGCTGGGCGTTTTGGCAGGCGCCTGTGGTCCCAGCTACTTGGGAGGCCAAGGCAGGAGACTCGCTTGAGCCCAGGAGTTGGAGGTTGCTGTGAGCTGTGGTGCTACAGCACTCTACCCAGGGGGACAGCTTGAGGCTCTGCCTCAAAAAAAAAAAAAATTAGGATATTTTGCCTTTGCACGGGCCAATACTCTGATGAAAATGGAAGACCTTGTAAGCCCACAACCATGGACTACATAGAGATATCTGTAACATAAGCCAAATGCAAAATGCTATTTGCCACTAGGGCAACTAGACAGTGAGTATGAATGGCAAGACCAAGGCAAGCTTCATTTTTAGAAAAGCACCCCAAAGCACATGTCCTTTGATGCAGTGATATTACCTTTATATGTGTATGTGAAGGAAAACTTGTTAGTAGTAATATTTGAGAAAATACATTTGTACTTCTCAGTATCCTCCTAAAATCCCAGACTCCATTTTCTCCCAAGTAATTTAATTTTCTTTCAAATATCAATATGGTTGTATTATGATGTTGTTTTTTGTTGTTTTTTTTTTCCCAATCAGGGACCACTGGAAGTAGCCCAAGTGTTCTTGGCTGAAATTCCAGCTGACCCAAAACTCTATCGACATCACAACAAGTTGAGGTTATGCTTTAAGGAATTCATAATGCGGTAAGAAGGGAAATGGCTGGGAATTTTATGAAAGCCGTAATTCTCAAAAGTGTGGTCTCAGACTAGCAGCTTGGGCATCACCTGAGAAATTGCTAGAAAGGCAAAGTGGTAGGTGCCACCCAGAGCTACTAAATTGGCATCTGTTCAGGTGGGACAAAACCATCTGTGTTTCCATAGCCGTCCAGGTGATTCTGATGCACAGGGAAGTTTGAGAACCACTGCGACAGAGCAACACTACTCGTGCTAGTAACTAAGTAACTTACAAACTACAAAGTGCTTTCACGTCTGTCATTTCCTGTGTGCCTTGGAATCACATAAAACAGATATTATCATCATCCTTATTTTAAAGAAGAGGAATTGGAGATTCAGAGACAGGAGATAATTTTACTTAGGGTCACATAGCCAGTTACAAACAGTTGAGTTCAAACCAGATCTTCTGAATCCAAATTGTCCACACTGTCATCATTGTACTGATATTCCACTGACACGTTAGAGTCCCAGAAGTTCTTAGTGTTGCATTTGTTGTATTATAATTTCCCAAATTATCTAAGAACTTATTTCTAGAAACTCAAAAATAAGCCAGTGCCCAGCAGTTCATGCCTATGATCCCAGCACTCTGAAAGGCTGACGTGGGAGGACCTCTTAAGTTCAGGAGTTCAAGATCAGCCTGAACAAGAGGGAGACCCCCATCTCCACTAAAAGTAGAAAAATTAACCAGGTGTGGTGGCAGCCACCTGTAGTCCCAGCTGCTTGGCAGGCTGAGGCAGCAGGGATCACTGAGCCCAAGAGTGTGAGATTGCTGTGAGCAAGGCCGAGGCCATGACACCCTCGCCCAGGTGACAAAGCAAAAAAAAAAGAAAGAAAGAAAAGGAAGCTCAAAAATAGATACTGCCTCAAAATGAGAGAGAGAGAGAGGCAAGATTCTAAAACAGGACTTTTCCAAGTATCATCTTGATGACAGTTCTCCAGATCAGACAAGCCTCATCTTCTGCCTTCTTCAAAGGCAGCCAGTTCAGCCTGCATAGGAAGTGGGTCTTTGGGTAAGATTTTGTAATCTGTTGCGATACAGATAGATATATTGGGTCTCCCATGATCTTTGAAAGAATGAATATGAATGATGTGGTGACCTTGTACCTGTAAGGACAAATATCATCAGGAAAATGTGTGCCCATATTTGTTTTCAGCCATGACCCTTAGAGCCACATACAAAATACCAGAATATCCTCACTTGGTAGGTAGAGATAAGGGAGGCTAAAAGTTAAAATTTGCTAAATTCACTGAAAACTTATCAGAACGCTCATGTTGGGTGAGGTCAGAGTTCTCTCCTCCTTCTCAGTCTTTGGTGAGAGGTCGGCAACTTAGCCGTGTATAGAGGAGTCTGCAGTGAAGCACAGCGGCTTGGCGATAGGATGTGCATGCGTGACTCTGTGTGTGAGCATATGTGTGTATGTGAGCACACCCATACAGGTACACACACAGACAGTATTTACCACGTTTTGGCATTTGAATTCTTTCCTGTCTTTGAAAGCAATTCTGACATTACAAAAAAGGTGGGGTTTTTTTTTCCAAAACACAGTGCATATTTATATAACAAGAAGCTAGAAGACTATTTGGGGGAGTTTTTAGATCTATTGATTTTTCGTATATTTTCATTTAAAATTAATTATGGTTGAAGGCCTCCAACCAGATGGTCCAGTGGCCCAGGCTTCTCTGGACATCTGGAGAGACCTATGAGATGTGGAAAAAGCATTCACTATGACCCAGGTACGGTATCAGTTATGGGAATACAGAGACCTGGGTGCTGCTCTGCTCTTGATGACAGGACATATCGCTACATAGCTGAACGACGACACAGTGCAGCATGTGCTGAAAACGCGACACTACGTGTGTACTAAATATAGGATTACAGAGATTAGAAAAGAGAGATCATTGGCAGACTGGAGTGTTCGGGGGAGGCTTTGTGCAAAAACACCTCTTAAACCCTGCCTTGAACATATGCTTGGAAGAAAGGGGGCAGGGAAAGAGGAACTATTACCATAGTTCCCCTTATGTGTGATTTACTTTCTGTGATTTCAGTTAGGTGGTCTGGAAATAACGTATACACAATAAGATATTCTGAGAGACAGAGAGACAGAAACTAACCACATGCATGCAACATATATTGTTATAATAGTTCTATTTTATTAAGAGTTATCATTAACCTCCTACTGTGCCTAATTTATAAATTAAACTTTTTCATAGGTATATCTGTATAGGAAAAAAACATAGTATATCGAGGGTTTAGAACTATCTGTGGTTTCAGATGCCCAGTGGGAGACTGGGAACATATCCCCCACGGATGAGGGGGGCTGCTGTACTGAGGAGGCGGGGCGGCACAACCACAGGGCTTAGAGTCAGGGAAGTGTGTGGTGCATCTGGGTTCTCGTTAGGACAAGATTAAAGATTAGAAAGACAGTAGCATTTGTAAATGAGGCTCTGAATAGAATTTAAATGTAAATGCAAACTTGTTAAAAGAAGTGATTTTCATTTTGTTTGGCATTTGTATGTGTGTTTCCTCTATTAGTTACAACCTTGCAATCCAGTATCTCATGGAAGTGATCCTCTACCTGACTCCACCTGGTTAAAATACCCTGTAAAATCCCTTCTAAAGTGTGTTTCTAGGTGGGGCACGGTGGCTCAAACCTGTAATCCTAGCGCTCTGGGAGGCCAAGGCAGGTGGATTGCTTGAGCTCAGAAGTTCAAGATCAGCCTGAGCAATATTGAGACCCTGTCTCAAAATAGCTGTGCATTGTGGCAAGCACCTATAGTGCCAGCTAATCTGGAGGCTAAGGCAAGAGGATCTCCTGAGCCCAAGAGTCTGAGGTTGCTGTGACCTGTGACACCACAGCACTCTACCAAGTGTGTCAAAGTGAGACTCTGTCTCAAATAAATAAATAAATAAATAAAATGTGTTTCTAATTAACTCCTAGCCCCAGGAAAAGTTACTACAAAGAGAACCAGGGCTGAGTAAAACTAATCCAAGGCAAGAGATACAAAAACGGATTTTCGAAGGGATGGTCCTTTCACAGTCATGCATTAGCAATCGTAAACCAGTAGGGGGCTGAGGGGAGGAGCAGGGACTGACCCCTCTGCTCGTTTCTTTCTGTATGTTAGGTTTCCCCACATAAATATACAAAAAAAGCCATTGGTGGGGTCAGTCCTTGATCTCCCCTCAGGGAAGATGTCTTTCTCCCCAAATTACCTGTAAAAAATAGTATATTTTCAGAATCAAAGTCACTATTGAAATGTTCTCTAACCCTTCTAAAGGTGATCCCATGTAGGAAACCGAGCTATAGTCCTACCTTTCTTACTACTGATTGAGCCGCTGCGTTGTTCTAGAAATGCCACAGGACTGTCTATCATTTTCTCAAACTTCCTCTGGGGAGCTCATCAAAATGCAGATTCTGATTTCACAGGCGGAGCCTGGGACTCTGCATTTCTAACCTTTCCCAGGAGCTGCTGCAGCTACTCAGACCAAACTTGAGTGGAGGTTGCTTGACTACCTGCCTCCCTTTCACATTTTCTACCCCCCTTACTTTTCCCTCCCCCGAGGGTTTAATCCTTCAGGCCGTCTTTATTGTCACTCATCTTTGCCTCTACTTTCATCCCTTTAAAAGAGCAAATGGGCTTGGCACCTATAGCTCAACCGGCTAAGGCGCCAGCCACATACACCTAAGGTGGCGGGTTTGAATCCCCAGCCCAGACCCGCCAAACAACAATGATGG